AACACTCTCTGCATGGACATATTGTACAACCACTTGCTCGTTATTATAACTTTCCCTCAATAACCTACTAATTACTGCTTATTGATAGTGAATAAGGAAGTTGTCATTGCATTGTTATATGCATGACAGTAAGCAACTAGTGAATGGTGATGAACTGTATCTCAATTTAAAGTTTTGAAAGTGACTTCCTCAGATATATGCTTTGTCCAACCAAGGGTCCAGAACCCAAAGATATTAGGTTTAATATCTCTTGAGTAATATTATAAATCTGACAGACACCATGGGTAGTCGTGTGACTCCTTATTGACTGCCAGTGTTAGGCAGTACCTTGTGTGCTTCACCAAACAAACTAAACCAGGCTCCACCTAAACAAATGCAGTTCTGTAGCACCAAAAAGATGCTCCGGGTACCTTCACATTTAACTAGTTAATATACCAAGCTCACTTCATCAGTTTTTGCTTCCATTCAAATATATATAATTAAATTAAAAAAAATTGTTATGAAATGCCGACCTCACCTTTACTCATAGTAACGTGTTGCTCCTCAGCTAGCACAGCTTTATCTGACCTCTCTGGCCGAACAGGATTATATTGTTTTGTCTCGAGTTCTGTTTGGAATCAATCTGTTCCAACTGACCCTGAAAAACAAACTCAGTGAAAAGTGAGACAAAGTGAAGCTGTTTGCCCTTTTCTCTACTTTAATCATGACTAATCCGTGTTTTCTGTGTGTTAAATGTGACCCATGATCATTGTTCATTTCACACTCTGCTCAAACTCAATGATTCAGCCCACTACTGACACTTTCTCCGACCTGTAAAACCTGTCTGTGTGACCAGCAGAGGATGATTGTGTTTCTCTCTGTCCCTCATCATGTCTTATATGTTCTTTCTAACCTCTCTATCATTGTCTGCATCACTGCTCATTACACTTGAGATTGTTTTGTCCTGGTAAATACTGCACACTCAGGCCTGGTGGTGGATCCCTCTATGAATGGGCCCCACCAGAGGTTTCATCCAATTTTGGCCAAAAAATGTCCTTCCCTGAAGGTCTGGTGCGACCAGGTAGGCTAAGTTTGGATATGTAGGTTAGGTTGTCATCTTTTTTCTGTATACAACTTGCAATTGGATGTATTTTGCTGTTTTTATCTCTCCTGTTCTTATTGACTATGTATGACTTTAATGTAGAATTTCATTTTGTGAGTGCTGATTCATTAGAGACAGATTCAGGTCAGCTTTTTGTCTTCAACAAGAAAGTTTGCTTCATGCTTGTGATGTAGAAACTTATCTGTAAATAAGACGAGACTTTATTTGTTTACAGTGAATGGCACCACCGGAGAGAGCATGTCTCTCAGTGTTGCAGAGAGGAAGATCCTGGCTGAGGAGTGGTGTCTCAAAGCCAAGGGAAAGTAAGTTGTCACGCTGCCTCTTCATCAGGACATTTGTACATGCAAAATAATGCTTGGCAGAAAAAAGATGATTGTGAAATCCTTTCTGCGTACACGTGCTTCCATGTCTCCACAGAATAGATCAGGTGATTGTGCATGTCGGCTGCATGAGTCTGAAAGATTCCCAAGAACTGGTGAGTTGTTGCCATAGTGTCGAAATGTATCCTCTAAACTAATCTGAGGCTAGTTTTCAAGTTTATAGCTTCACCTTCACCAGGATTAAAGATTAATCCTGCGCTCTGAAATACTGTTTTTTCTCCTTATCAGGTTTAATCAGAGGTCATGTTTTGTCTATACTATCTGCATAGTTTTAATATGTAGATACACTGCAGTTAAAAAAAAATCAACAAATCACTTAAGGTTTTTTTGGTATTTTGTTTTTCATCACAATTAATTAAGTTTGTTATAAAAGCATGTCCAAGTGTTCAAATGTATTGACAAACACATGAGTGATAGAATAGTAAAGAGACAGCATGTCAGATGTGAACCCTTTAAATAAACCATAAACTTATCTTGTTGCTCTGTGGTCTTTTATTCTGTTGGTATAGAAATTACTCTGCCTCTTCATTGGCTTTTGCCTGTCTAATGTTAAATCCCAAATTCTTTAAGATTTAACAAAGAAGAAATAATGTGTTAGTAAATGAAGCTAAGAGGTGCTAGAAGGCTAATGTTCTGTATTTGCCATCTCTTCCACTTTTTGTTCATCTCCAGGCTCGTCATGCTGCACAGATCGGGGCTGATGGGATTGCAGTCATTTCCCCCTCTTTCTACAAACCCAGCACTGCAGGTATATACATATGATGTGGTCATATACGCAAATGTGTTGCAAACGTGTCCCGCCACTTATTCTATTCACGTGACAGAACTGTATATCCAAGAAAACACCAAGGCACTTTTTTCCATGACCATAGTTGTTTTTCTGTAGCTGAATAAATCTACCCAATCATTTTATATTGGGCATTGTGTTGTTTGTCTAATTGCTCCTGTTCTAATAAAATTAATAATAATAATGTTTTCCCATTTGGCATGGTACAGGTCTAACTGGTTTAGCATCCTGTATGCCAGCTCCTCATAGGCTGCCACAAGTGAACCATAAGCAACATAAAAGAAGATCCAGCAACTTAATAAGGAGCTTTGGTCCCAGCACGATGACTGTGCAGAAGCTGCTTGTCTGTGATTCAGGAATCCCCCAAGAGAGCAGCAGAGTCACCTAATACATGTATACTAGCTAGAAATGGATTGCCTGACCCATGATCAATTTCACATTGTCATGAAGTTTGTTTTAAGCCATGACTTTGCTGAAGTGACTTAGGGAGGGTCTGAGACTTAATTGGCAAATTTTACACAAATCTAAGATGATGGGATGAGCTCCAGCCCTTTTATTATCATATCTGAAATAATAATGATAGAAAGTCCCATGAAGGCATTTCTGGGCCAAATGTCTGAGACTAACGGCTCAGGGGTATACTAACAATTTTAGCAAGGTCATGTCTCTTTGTAAACTGGTTTCTGTATGCTTTTTTTCTCAAAGCGAGGTTTTGCACATCTCATAAAACTGTTTCATATATCCTTTTGGGATATCTTGAGTGAGGACTTAAGATTTCATCCAATTAGATTTATATCCCAAAACCCTAGAGAAAGGCATTCAGCTTGTGCCACAATCACTAAAACATCAGAGTAGGCTCCAAAAGTCAGAGAACACTTTTCTTATCAAGTGGCTTTAAACGTTTGGACCCCACTGTATGCGACAAATGGCTGATACTGGCAAATAGTGAGAAGTAGGAATGAGGGTGGGCAAAAAAGGTGTTTGTTTCCTCTTTTGTCAATAGCCACAGTGTTAGAATGAAGCTGACCTTCGGAGTTTTAAACAGCTGGGATGACGTATCCAAGCTCCTTGTTTTTAATGCATGAGGTTAGCCTTTCCCCCTCTTCAATAGTTTTTTGTACAAATTTGAGCTTGCTATAATCTCAGACAAGGAAACGTAACTTTAGTTCTTTGTATTTTGAGCACGGTCCGATATTTTGATGCTTCCTATAGTTCGTGACACAGTTTGAGACAATGCTGATGATGAAGTAATAATCTTTTCTGAATAACACCTCATGTGTGATCATTCATAGTTAGTCATTTTCCATCCCTTGTGTAAGTCTATCTCGACACTAACTAACCTAAGAGTTGATAGATGTGGAGGTGTTTGTTCAGTGAGACTGCCACTCCCCTGCTGTTACTTGTCCCATATGACGCATTTGCCCGAGCTGCCAGGAACAGGAACACAGCCTAGTGTACTTTTGATCGTTTGATATGTTCTCTCCTGTACGAATGCCAAAATGTGCCAACAGAGTACATGATGTCTGAAGACTTAATATCCATTCAGTGCATGATACAGCTAACAGATAGCCCTGAAATGAGTTGAGAAGCTGCAGTGTACATTAGAATAAACCGCAACTATAAATAAATGTACTAAACATATGTTGCGCCCAAATCAGGGAGGCAGGCAACATGTTGTCTTGCAAGTGTGATAGTGAAGAGATTATTATTAGAGTTACAACTGAGAAAATATCCTCAGGGTTAAACTAGAATGACATGAAGTAAAGCACACACAACAGTCCTGATTTTTTCCGAGGTGGTAAATTGTCAAAAAAGAAAGTGAGCATTAGTCTTGTCTAGATTGGCACCACAGTTAAATGGGTTCCTTCCTGGCCCATGTTTCCATCAAGTTTCAGGGAAATCCATTCAGCAAACAAACCAACAAACAGGAATGAAAATAAAACCTCCTTGGCTGAGGTGCTGAGAGAAAATGGGTGAAGACCTAATATCCATCCTATTTCGTAGTAAATTACATTAAAGGATCACACACCACTGACTGAAACCCTCAATATTCTCTGTGACGGTGGATGTTTGTTTTCCCTCAAAGATGAAATACCTGACCAGACTACATCTTTACAAAATCTTATAGATCCAAACTAAACTTGTAACAAACATATTTTCATCTCAAATTCTTCTAGTCAACAAAGTTAAGTTTGACGCTATAGAGTCACTTCTCCTATCACAGAAAGATACACTCTTTTTTAACTGTTAAAATTATCTTGGCATGGCCATGTTGGAATTTTCTTGGATTTTTTTAAATCAACATTGCAGACAAATGTAGATGTGATAAGCAGGAAGCACTTCTACCCAAACATTTGACTTTTTATGATGTTTATGTTCCTTCTCACTCTGCTCCAGACGCACTGAGGACGTTTCTCCATGAAGTGGCTTCAGTTGCTCCAACCATGCCTTTCTATTATTATCATATTCCAGCTGTCACCGGTGTTGATGGTCAGTGCTAGTGATGGTTTTGCATTCTGGTTAAAAGCTTGTAAAAAGTTTTGACCGATGGCATGACTGTGACATGGTCTTTTTGTTTCAGTGCTGGGGAGGGATGTGTTGGAAGGTATCGAGGAAGTCATTCCCTCCTTCAGTGGAGTCAAGTTCTCTGGAAGTGACCTGATGGACTTTGGCCAGTGTGTCAGCTACAGTCAGCCCCACTGGTCATGCCTCTACGGTTTGGACGAGGTCTGTCTTCTTTCCTTCTGGTCGAAAAAAAAACTGATTTGAGAATTAAGTCTTAATGTTTGGCTGCGTGAAATTTTAGAGGAGGGATATGAGAAGATCAGCCTGTTGCCTGAGTTAGAATTATAAATTAAAACTCTATTATATAGATCTATGTCATGTACGTGCTATTCTGAGGGTTGTCCTAGCATAGAACTGAATATTCAAATATTCCACAGCAACTGCTTGCAGCTCTGGCTATGGGAGCCCACGGAGCCGTTGGCAGGTCAGTATGTGATCTGTTATTTACGTAATGCTCTGTATCCTTTCACGCTCCAGTTATTTACATATAACTTCTTATTAATATCTCTGCCCACAGCACGTATAACTACATGGGATGTCATATCAATAAGCTCATAGCTGCATTTGAGAAAGGCGACCTTGTCCAAGCCAGAACAATACAGGTACCATCCATCACGCTGTCGCTGGGCGCAAGCTCTCATTTGACGTTTCTGCATTGACTTTGTTGTCTGACATCTTTGTTTCATTTCCATGAACAGTTCAAGATGCAAGAGCTTTTCACATATGCAAAGAAACTTGGTGAGTGATGGTTGTGTCTATCATGATGTTTTTTTGAACTGAATATAAGATTTGACAAATGCTCTTGGACTTATACTGAAGCTGCTTCATTGTGATTGACAGGTTTCGATCTGGGAGTGAACAAGCAGATGATGAACGAGCTGTCAGGCCTGAGTCTGGGGCCTCCTCGACTCCCCGTGATGCCCTGTCCTCGTAGCCAAGCCCAGGCCATTGTGCAGAAATATCACAGTCATTTCCCCCGATACTGATTTGTTGATTTACCCCGCATTCACACTTTGCTACAAACCTTTCTGTTGCATCAGTTTGGAATAAACCACTTCTCTCAGCTAAATGTACCTTAGAGGCAATGTGCAAATAATTCCAGGAGCACAGTGAGAAGAAAAAAAACAATTCAGGGTTGGGTGTTTTTTTTAATCAATCTAAAATTATCTATGAATTATACAACAGTTAACAGCTTCCAAATATCATGAAACATATATATATATATGTATATATATAATACACTTTACTACTGCGATAAAAACATTCATGTGACTTATGTACTCATTTGAATATACTCCTGTATTTTATGGGCATTCTCTGCTGACGACTTTTTGCAAGAGTTGTTTTTCCTTTAATTGGGAATCACAGCATTTATTATTGATCATGATTGATCACATGATATTTAAAGAATAATTTCCATTACCTGGAGAAATTCAGGGAACCCAGGACTCTCACAAATGAGCAGAATTATTATCTAGTACTGTGTAATATCGCTGAATCTCACTTTGGGAATTTAAGCACACAAAGCCTCCTTTTGTTGAAAACTATTTTTTTACCGTTGAAATTCACAGTTTTGGGAAAACCCAGACCGTGAGTTGAACTCATCAGAGGAAGGCTGATGGAGACAGAAGGAGCATTAAAACACAATAAACCTTGTTTCATATATAAACTGCCTGACACTCCAAACAGGGGCTAAACAAATATAAGGATATAAGGAGCGTCAAATGCTGATAAATGAGATTCAGCCCTTGTTTGTTTGTTGTTATTAAATGTATACTCTCTAAAGGGAAATATGTAACATGTAGATTCTTTGCTTTGTATTAGGACACATAATAAAAAAAAGACCAAAAAAAAAAGACTAGTGAACTGTTTCACCCATCTGGAGTTTCTTTTGTTTCTCTCTGCATCTCTGCATCCCTCCATAAGTCATCTGAGTTTGGAGGAGAAGATTTTCACTGCAGTTTCAGGATTTAACTTCAACTTTATTGTCCTCAAGGGGAAATTTGTTTTGCAGCCAGGCTAAACAAAACAAAAAAAGCAATAAAGGAAACACAGGCGCACAGACTCGGGCACAAGAAAGAAAAACATTAAAATACATAAATACATCATTATATCAAATAATAACAGAAAACTTAAAAAAACCATAAAACCGTAATTTCAACCAAAAGTAAGACCCTCGTCAGTCAGTGAGCAGGAAATGTCTCATTAACTAGGTCATCATTAGAATATAATAGTTTGATGGAGTTATAAAATCCTTTTTCAACCTGTTGGACTTGTTCACTCCCAGGCTGGAGTTTATCTTCTGCTTGAGGGCAGAAGCTTAAGTTGAGCAAAGGGAGGATGTCAAAGACACTGTAAGATGAGCTGTAGCTCTTTAAGTGAAAGACAGGTCAGGTAACTTTTTGCCAAAGATCTTACAGGCAACCTGAATGATATGTTGCAACTTATTCTTGTCCCCAAAACAGAGATTACCAAACCAGGTGTTAAAGCCAATGGTAAGGACAGACTATATCATTGAGTTGTCAAAAAGTGTCATCAATGTACTGCACACACCAAACAGTAAGTATGCAAAAACAACTAGACGGAATACCATGAAACTTAGAGGAAGTATGTTGTCTGGGTAGACCTCATTTTGGTGTAGATCATCACTTTCTTTAACATTGCAAGACTGGGCATTTTTTGGACACGTTCATTGGTTAACCATGGATCTAGATGTAAAACAAAATGAGGCCCATTTAGGGGACTGATATCTATGAGTTTGTGTAACTCAGTGCAGCTGGATTGGATTTAAGGTGTCTGTTCGTGCTCTACTGAGTGCCATTAGTTTAAAATCAGTTTTTTGAAACATAGCGTTATCAGTGTACCATAGGAGAACTAAATGATAAATCCTGGGTGATGCCTTGACTTGATTTCTCCTCTCATGAGTTGAAAAATACTTCTCTGTCTGTAATATTCTACATGTAACCTGCAGGTCAGTCTTAAAGTCCACAGTTTCAATTTGAACAATGCTGCCCCCTGTTGCCTCAGTGTGAACAACGCTGCCTCCTCATGCCTACGAGTGGAGCTGTCACTGATAGACTCACTGGCTCATCTTGATCTTGGGTTGCTCCATGGTGCAAAGGACATTGTTTCACGTGGCGCAATAATGACACCACTCTCTGCAATAAGAACAGAATGGAGGATGGCTTATGGAACGACTGAGATCAGCTTGGCTTAATTTTTTGGCCAAGAAGGTTATATATTTTCTGAACCTGGTGGAATTGCTCACTATCAAGAGCTCCAATTGTTGACATTTACTTACAAAATCATATAATTTTCATTTAAGATATTAAAAGTCTTCTGAGTTTTTGCTCTCCTTACATATTATTTCTTCAAGAATAAAACAAATAAAACCCGGATTTTGAGTCTGTCCATAAAGATGTTTAGTCTTCATGTATTTTTTAATTCTCATTTTTATTTGTTTGATTTTAATACCTTTTTATTTGTATGTGTCTTCTTGTTTTATATATATATCTGCCGTGTCGTGTTTTTAGTTTATTTTAGCTTTTTATTTTGAAGCATTATGCGTCTCTGCTTGTCATATTTATGACAGTTTTTATATTTATGAAAATCCTCATCGCCACATAAAAGCTGACACCGAACTGGACTATGGTTCCGCCTGACAGCAGCACGGCAGTATTCAGCAGTGGCACAACAAAGCTCTAGCGTTTCCGGCCAGCTCAGCGCGTCAGTCCTGCGCTGTTGTCAGTTTCCAGCTCGTCAGCTCCGGGACCAGTCAGGCACCTGCAGCCCTTTCACCGGCCGGCGGAGGAACACTAGAGGACGGCGGAGACATGGTTCTGCTGACGATGATCGCCCGGCTGGCGGACGGTCTGCCGCTGGCCGCCTCCATGCAGGAGGACGAGCAGGTTCGTTAGCTGTCTGCTGTTTGGATCACTCTGCCGTCAGTGTCCAGGCTCCAGCTGTGAAACGCCTCACACGTTCTGGGCGAATGCTACAGGGACACGTTAGCTAACAGTGCGCAGCTGGGCCAGATGTGGGCAATGGGGAGGGGGGGGGGGACTCCAGATGTGGACTCCAGGTCTCGACCAGGGGCTGCTGTATGAAACTTTGATGAGATCAGTGAGTGGAGGAGGCCTGACTTCTGTTTACACAGGGACACTGAGTCATTCTTCAGAGATCCGTGTTTCAACCCTGACACCAGACTCACGCTGATCCAAACCGTCTGAGCATCTGACAACTGATGTGGACGTTTCAGTTTAGCTTCAGCTTCGTGCTGAGTCCAAAGTCTTAAGAATGACAGACAGTCCTTCAGTCCACGATGACACGCATTTAATATATTGAGGCAAAAGCAGAACAGACAGAAGGCCACAGATGATGGTCGTTTTCAAGTTTGAGTGGTGATTTAGGCCTTAAAGCTCCAGTGTGTAAGATTTAGGTGAAAGAGATTTATTGGCAGGATATAAAAAAAACCCTGAATACCTGATGTGTGGGATCATCTAAATTATTTATATTGACATCTTTATGAGTTTTTATGACAACTGAAGGTTTCCACAGGTTCTCTATCCTGTTTGGAATGGGAGGGTGAGGGGTATTCAGCTGCAACGTGCAACTTCACCGCTAGATGTCACTACATACACATTGAACCTTTAAAAGCTGCATTAGTGCGGTAGTCTATTTAGATGTTTCTTAGGTAGAGCATATACAAATGCTATCATTTGCAAATGTTCTTTTACTTGTATTTTATCTACTTGTATTTATACTAATGCCAATGTATTGGCTGATAGTGTTTCACAGACATGTCAGTATGTTTGCTGATATGAACTTCTTTAACCTCTGTGAAATATGCTGTACAAAGTTTGGTTTATTGATTGATTGATCTATATATATATATATATATATTGATTCGTGTGATTCTTGTGTTTAAGACTTTTAGATATCTAATGAGATGCTGGCTGTAGCTTTTGCACTAAAACAATGGGGCTGCAAGGTTTAATCCACTGAATAGTGTTCTCCTCCAATAAAACTGAGGTCACACAAGACACAGATTAATGTTTTAATGTCGAAACATGTAAAATGTTCAAATGGATGCCATTTGTAACTTGTTACAATGTTTTTCTTGACCTTTATTGGTATTTATTGAGCATGACTTTTCAGAAGTCTAACCTTTTTCCCCTCACTCTCTTTTTTTGCTTTCAAAAAGGGAAGTGAAAAGGTTGGTTGTTTCTCTGCTCTGTGCTTCAGCATCCTACATTTTTGTGTGACGCTACAAATGTTGCAGGAAAGAATCTGTCATTCGGTGGAGGGGATGACACCCAAAAAACGTACTCATACTTAGGATAAATGCTGAATATAAAGAATTTACCATAATTTGAACTGGCTATTTGATGCCTTCAGTCTCAGATGTAGCATCACACCAATATTATTTATTTTCGATACATTACAGGGCAAGAAATTGATACTGTCAAGTAAAATAGAAAGATTTTTATCTGTCTTTTCACCACACTTTAAATTCCTGTAGTTGATATCTGTCCTGATAACTCGACCTGCCATCGAAGCAAACTAAAGTCAGTTTCTTGCCCTTTTTATTTTCTGTGTGAGATGTGAGTGAAATGTGTGGTGACTGTCATCCCTCTTTTTCTCTTCTAGTTGGGTCGGGACCTCCAGCAGTATCAGAGTCAAGCGAAGCAGCTCTTCAGGAAGCTCAATGACCAGAGTCCCACACGCTGCACTTTAGAGGCTGGGTCCATGGCATTTCAGTGAGTATGAAGTCGGAGGAAAAGAGAAATATATAAATATAAATCCAAACCACACATCTCTTGTTTCCCAGTAATGGTTTCTAGATAGTTTTGAAGTTGCTATGTCACAGTTAAGATCCAGGATGTAGAAGGTCACCTTGTGTGTGTGTTTCTACTTTGTTCCTTCCTGCAGCTATTTTATAGAGAAAGGAGTTTGCTACCTTGTGCTTTGTGAAGCCAGTTTCCCCAAGAAGCTGGCCTTTGCTTACCTAGAAGACCTGCAGGCTGAGTTTCATGAGCATCATGGAAAGAAGGTCCCCACAGTATCCCGGCCGTACTCCTTCATCGAATTTGGTAAGAACAAAAATGTTTTAGTATGTTGCACTTTTGGTCACATTACTGATGTCAAATCAAAACCCAATCTGTAGATATATTAGACATTTAATTCTTTTTTTGATCCAAAAGACCTGGTGTCATGTGGTGTTAGGGTAAAAAAAAAAAGAAAAAGTCAATAGCATCTACTGACTCTGTTTGTGCACAAACCTCCATTTAACATCTGGATACAACACTGTGCATTAGTTTCAGCAGAACCAGAGGTACCATCTTTTATATTTATAAACCTCATTACCCATGATACATCTCAACTACAGAGAGCTGCTGGAGATTCAGCTTCTCCGCTAATATTTACTTGTTGCTATGGGCAAAAATTCTCTGGCTCACTACTTCATCACTTTTATGTCAACATTTTGTCAAATGATTGCAGAGTCTCTAGGCCAGTTGTTTGTCTTAACTGCAAAAACGTTATACTTTCAGCACTTACAGTTACGCATCACTGACCCCCTGATATTCCACAAGGCTGAAAATCACCAGTTGCACCCTCTGCTTTGCATGTATCAGCATTCTCAGACATGCAGACATACAGATGTAACAGTCTTCCAGTGAAGTGGAACTAAGAGTCAACAGACACAATTTTAGTTGGACATCTTTCACACTAAAATTAGCAGGCTTACGCAGGTATTTTTAACGATCATAAAAAAAGATTGTCTTGCTTCCCATTTTCAGTAGGAGTCTGCCTTTCTGTTTTTTTCACCAACGGTTACAAAAGCAATGACAACAGAAGCTCTCCCCTCGCTGTCTTGCCAATTAGCGCGTTCCCCTGAGTTTCTTGTTTCCATCACTGCCGATCAGAAAACCTGCATCTACTGCAGAGTCATTTGACCTGGGAGTGAATGCTGATTGTATCCTTTCACATTGCAGACAAAAGCCAAATAATCTGTCCTTGCCTTTGTCTCAAATATGTCTCTAAACATGTAAAGCATCCTTGTGTCCCTTGAAAGGCGCTATAAAAATTATTATTATTATGTTAGTTGGTTTTTTGATGAGTGGAACAACAACTTATGTGGCAGTGGAATATTCTGAGAAACCACATTTTACAGGTTCCCCTCAACTGCTTTTTTTTCTCATCAGACACGTACATCCAAAAAACCAAGAAGTCTTACATTGACAGTCGAGCGAGAAGGAATCTGGGCAGCATCAACACAGAGCTCCAGGATGTACAGCGGATCATGGTGGCGAACATAGAGGAGGTGCTGCAGAGAGGAGAGGCTCTCTCTGGTGAGTTATCTCAGGCCTGTGCGGCTCCCTTCGGCTCAAACTCACACATGGTGTTTGTTCTCACACTGGAAACTAAAAGCTTGTATGTTTCTTTATTTGTTCTTATCTGTGTCTCTTCCCCTCTCACTCTTGTCTTGCCTCTTTTGTTTTTTGTGTTTTCCTCCTCATCCCTTTCCTCCGCTTTCTCCTCCCCGTAGCCCTCGACTCCAAGGCCAGCAACCTGTCCTCCCTGTCGAAGAAGTACAGGAGCGACGCCAAGTATCTGAACACCCGCTCCACCTATGCCAAGCTGGCGGCCGGTGGTGTCTTTTTCATCATGCTCATCGTCTATGTACGCTTCTGGTGGCTCTGAGAGAGAGAGAGAGAAAAGAAGAGGAAGGAGGTGTTGAAGTTTCTCCAGACGCTAAGAAAAGCCGTCACCTTTGCCTAAAAACAGTATCCCTGCTCTTAATAAGACTTTACAGACCTACCGTCATCCATTCTGTTCTCGCATGTCCATGGATGTGTGACCTGAATATAAATAAT